AGACCTTCTGGCTCTGCACAGCTCCTGACAGGAGCCTGGAGCCAGGGGGGGGTCGGGCTCTGCTCCCAAGGGACAAGGGACAGGACAAGAGGAAACAGCCTCAGGTTGCCCCAGGGGAGGGTGAGGTTGGATATTAGGAAACATTTCTTCCCTAAAAGGTTTGTCAAGCCCTGTGCCAGGCTGCCCAGGGCAGTGGTGGAGTCCCCACCCCTGGAGGGGTTTCCAAGCTGTGGAGATGTGGTGTGAGGGACACGGGGCAGTGGGGACCTGGCAGTGCTGGGGGAAGGGTTGAACTCCATGATCTTAAAGATCTCTTCCCACCAGAAAGATTCCATGCTCGTTGAAATTCCTGGGTATAAATCCCAGTGCTTCCTGTTGAGATGAGGGTATTTCTGCAAGTGTGATGAACCAGTTGCTGTGTTACCCTCTCATGTTTTCCCTTCTCCTTTGCCTTCCCCAAAGGTTCAACATTCTGCAGGAAAGCCTCATCAAGCTGGTGGAAGCCTGCAACGACCAGTCACACAACATGGACCGTTGGCTCAGCAAGCTGGAAGCTTCCAACTGGCTGACACACATCAAAGAGATCCTGACTGCAGCTTGTCTGGCTGCTCAGTGCATTGACAGGTACAGGAGAGCCTCAAGTTTCTCCTTGACTCCTTAAATTCCTTCTCAAACAGCTTTATTTCCATTTTAATTTGGTTAGCAAGTGGTCACTGTGAGCTGCCTCGCTCATACCCAGGCAAGATAGGGTTTCAGCATGCTCAGGGAATGTTCCTGCAGTAAATCATGCTTGTATTTTTAGCTGTGCCAGCCTGAGGGAGGAAATCTTGACTAAGGTGAGGTATTAGATCATGTAGCTCCAGTGTTTCCCTCTGCCTGATGCAGGGAGTCCAATTCATTTCGTTTTCTCAGAGGTTTAGAATGGGCCCATCTGAAATGGGGTTTGGAGGCCTAGGAAAGTGAGAACACAATCTTTTTTTGAAGTCCTTTTTTAGCTGAAAGTTCCATACCCCACCTCCCTTCCCCAGGCCAAACCAACAGCATTTCCTTATTTTCTCCAGGAATTGGTCCAGTGCTTTTTTCCTCTTGGTATTTTTCTCCCTATAGTCCTACCTAAGCAATCCTGTCCCTCCTTTCTAAGTGCTTGTGACCTCTTTTAACCTGATATTTCTTTCATAAATCCTGCTGACTTGGCTAATTTGCCTCCAGACCTCAGGCTGGAGAGCAGAATCGACCTGTCAGGTGCCAGGGTTTCCTCACTGGCTCTGCCAGGAGAGGACTGCTCTGGGTCCATGGCTTTAGCTCTCATTCTCTCCCATGTGTGTTTAGTGGGAAACTTTGGGGACAAAACTCTTCTGGCCTGTTTGGCCAGTGGAGGATTTCATCATTTTTTAACCTCAGCTTTGCTTTTTCTGTTTCCCTGGAGCTCTGAGAGGCCAGCTCAGTGTTGGTGCCTGGTCTGCTTTGCTCAGAGACCTTCTGGTGACCTTTCAGTTTCTACAGGGGGGCTGGAAGAAAGCTGGGGATGGACTTTTGAGCAGGGCCTGTTGGGACAGGACAAGGAGGGATGGTTTGAAACTAAAAGGGGAGATTTAGACTGGAGAGAAAGGGGAAATTTTTGATACTGAGGGTGGTGAGCCCCTGGGCCAGGCTGCCCAGAGAGGTGGTCAGTTCTGAGATGCATTTCCGTGCTGCTGTGTGGGATGGGGGTGGGAAGAAGGGATAAAGAGCCAGAAAAACCTCCACATTATCAGGGTAGCAACACTGGTGGGATATGTGGGCTGAATTCATTGGGATTCATGAGTCCTTGGGATACATTTTGCTCCTGGATGCTCTTATTCCTCTCCACCCTTTCCTTTGGCAGGGAAGGTGCATCAGTGTTAGTGCACGGGACTGAAGGAACTGACTCAACACTCCAGGTCACTTCTCTGGCACAGATTATCTTGGACCCAAGGTGCAGGACCATACGTGGCTTTGAATCTCTTGTTGTGAGGGAGTGGCTGCAGGTAAGAGAAGCCTCTGGACAACGTGGTGAGAAACACCCTGAGAGGCAGCAAACAGGTTGGGCCTGGCTGCAGCTCTGCTTAGTGAAGGGCCTTTGTCCTAACAGCAGCATTGTTCACTGAGTTCTTTGTCCCAGAGCTACTGGAGAGGGTCCAGTAGAGGCTGTGAAGCTTATGAAGGGCCTGGAGCATCTCAGTGCCCAGGAAAGGCTGATAGCCCTGGGGCTGCTGAGCTGGAGAAGACTCAGAGGGGATCTGACCCAGA